GTTTCATCATTTAGCACAGCAGCCAGGCCTTGCGGCTCCTCCTTCTCCTTGTGAGGAGGGCTGCCTGTCTGATTTGGAAGCTCTGGCAAAAAGCCTGAGCTCATTGATTACAGATCACTGTTAATAAAGGGCATTTGTAATGCAGCGGTGGTGCTGCAATCTCCACACGCCAGTTCATGATGGCCCTTCAGTCTCCACAATTAAGTCGTCCAGCAGGCATGCCCCCTGTTGCAGCTGCTCTGTCAATCTCATTTTGTAGTACAAATGATCTTAGACCCAGTGTTTGACATGGGGTTTTAACACCAAAGAAGGCAATTCTGCAACTTCAAATGAGCCTAATTGGTTGTGCGCTCAGGCGTTCACTCAAGCTGCTTCAGTCCATCAGAGAAAGATTTCCAACTAATTGAACAACTCAGAAGAAAAAGGACCACGGAAATCACAATACACCGAGTCAGTGGAGAGGGGTCTTTTTTTGTGATTAAAAACAACAATAACACACCCTCAAAATAGTTTTTATAGCAGGGAAAATATCAGCCGCCTTACCTCATATGTCACTCTAGACATATATCTCTTTGTTACCAACCCTTTCGGAGTGAAAAAGCAGTTGTATTATTAATCAATTGACAACACAAGTACATCTGCATTTATTTTGTTGCTGTTTGGTTTTTTGTGTTGTTGTTTTATGAAAGAAAGGAATTTCTCTTGGAAAAACATGTTGTATAGATGGGAATACTTTAAAATAGTAAAAGAAATCAGGCAAACGAGGGACTAGTTTTCCTATTCGCAATGTCTTCTGTGGGTAGGAAATGAGGCATGTGTGAGCATGGGTAGAGGTAGGTCCTATGAAAACAAATATTTGTTTTGCATATTCTTTTAATATTATTCATTTCAATGTGTTGAGTTTGTCAAACATGAGGGCATGTTTGGGTGTGATTGTCAGTGAGCAGAACTTTTGAAATGCGGAAAAATCACCACAACATGAGCATGAGAATTTGACTGGGTATGTATGTATGAAAAAGGGATACATATCCCCAATTGTTTCATCCTCACTTGTAGGAACAAATCATTATAGGAGTTTTCTCCCTGCTGCATGACTTCTAATCTGGAAGTCATAGGCAGTGGATGTTTCTGTAAAAGCAGGGGAAAGCTGTAGCAGCAACTGAAAGGCCCATTGCAAGTGCATTCCATTCTGTTATCAAGGAGAAGATGGTGGAATTCAGCTGGGTATGTCATGCCAGTGATGCAGACCTCACAGGTGAAAAAAGTATAAATTAAGTCATAAACGCAGTTTGGATTATCTGACACACCCTATGTTAAACTGTATATGGACTGAAGTTAGGGCTTGCATACACTAAAAAAAAAATAAACCTAAAAGATTTGGCTAACCAACTACCTAATTTTGTGAGTGTACTACTCAGTCATAGCAGTTTGGTTTCACTTTAATTAATCTGCCTTCCCACACAGTATCCTGGGATTTGTCATTTGGTGAGATACTTGGAATTCCTTGTAAAGCTTATTATAATTTTTTTTAAAACAGTTTTATCTGTGAACCACCTTGGGTGCTTTTCTGGAGAAAGGCAGTATAAAAATTAATTAAATAAATAAATATACCTGGCTGGAGAATTCTAGTGCTCTCCTCTGAAAAGAAGCACTGGAGAGCTCTGGCAGAGAATTCTAATTCTCAATTTCAGCAGCATCTCTAGGTATAACACAATTGATTGAATGCAATATTAGGCACAAGCAAATAGGCTAGGCACTTCCACAAATCCTATACCTCTGCCAGTGCACAGAGGCTGAGGGACACTGCTGAATGGAGTGGTATTAAAATGAGGGATGAATCCCTGCAACCAGTCTGACACATCTTCCAACAGCCGAGCCCTTCCATCATCACAAGGCAGTTCCTGGATCCAATCCAAGAGATGTTAGTACTAGATGGGATCTGAAGGACTGCATTGGTGTATTTGTTTGCAACGGGGTGAGTGAGCTATGCCCCTTTTAACTGCATGAGTCACTCCTGAAACTCAGGCCTGGCCTCCAAGCCAGCAGAAAGCATTATGATTAGAACAAAAGATTGAGAGGTTCCAGTGGACATGAAATGAATCTCTTAGCTGGAGTTCTACTTATACAGGACAGCTTTAAAAAAAAAGTCTGAAAAATACCAGGCTGGACCATTTTTCAAACAAGTCCTCATTACGGTTTCCACTTATTTGATACAAGTTTCCCCTCACTCGTGACAATCCCACTGTTCATTCAGCCATACTTCAGCCCAACCATCCTTAGGTCTGAATGCGAATTGCACAATGAAGCAAATCCATGTTATGAGCTGGTAAACATGGAAAAAGATCACATGGACCAACAGCCATGCCAAGTATAGTTTCAAGAGCACCCCATGTGCCATCACTGAGGAGTAGTCCATGCCAAAACCTTCAAACTGGAACAGAAAAGTCCTCAGAAATCCTGATTTTAACTATATTGATAGCATAAAGACCTTGTTTCATTAAATAACATTATATGGATTTGAAATGCCTTTCTTTTTAGCATCACTGATCCATTATCCATGCAAAGTTACAAGAAAAAGCATGGAATTACAATCAGTCATTGATCAGCAATTAAATGTTACAGCAGCCATACACGTCTGCTCTCCCTTTTCCTCTTTTAGGTTTATCTTTATTTATTATCTTTCATTCTCTAACAATATAGTTTCTATAGCAACAACCATTGGCTGTTGAAATAATGAAAGCCACAGCAAGCTCTCCTGCAGTGAAATCCTTCATGCTGACAAACCCAGCTTCTATTATCTTTGTCCAGTGTTTTTCATTACCTACCAGAATGACCCATTTATCAGGATATACAAGCTATCAACTAATTACTTCTGAAACAAATAGACTAATGGAAACAAGACCACTGGCTTCTTCTTAGCCCTAAAAGCAAAACCTCTGCATGATGTATATTTGCTTTAAAACACATGAACCAATCTTCTTAACTATGCAAGTCTTTTCTTAGCATGGGAAGCTAAATCATGAGAACCATTAGAAACAGTCAGACCTCCTCAGTCAAAAACTCTAGTTATCTGAGTAAAATACAGAGGGCCATTTGACAAGTGGTAAGCAAGTGTATTGTATTATAAGCTTGTTGCCAGTACTGGGATATTTAGACCCCCTCAGCTCAAAATTCTTGGTGGAAAGCAGCATAATAAAAATGAGCCTCACCCATTGGCAGGACAATATAGAAATTTGTCTTTCTAATTAGATGAACAGTTAGTAAACAGGATAGGACATTGCATTCACCCAAAAACACCTACACATTTCTCTAGAAAACACTAGCATAGACACCTGATATCTCATTGAGCTTAGTTGTCTGGATCCCTTTATTCCCTGCAACATCTATCTCTTGACCAAGTCATGTCCCATTGCTACCACCAGCTTCTACAGCCTTTCATCATTTCACCTCTGAATTGGGTTAAATGTCAATAGTGGCCAGGTATTCATATCTCAGTGCTCCAGTGACTTCAATTTGGTGGTTGCAAACTCATTCTGGGAACCTTGCTCATTTATTATCCCATTGCCAATAAGACTCATATGGAAAACTGTAGGCACCTCTCTTGATGAAGTCCCTTGTCTCCTAACTGTGGCTTACTGTACTGATCAGTGGGGTTGGAGTCAGGGTGCTTGTGTGTGGATGGTCTTGGCATGGACAATAATATGCTGCAAGTTGTTTAAGAGAGTGCTATGAGAGTTCTATTTTTTCTGAGTTTATCTAACCCAGCTCTGTCTATCCATACAACCAAGAGTTTTTCAAGGTCCCAGGGAGAGGGTATTCTAGCCTGTCATATTTTTTATATCTGGACATGCCAAGGACTAAATCTTGTATCTACAGATGGAAAGGAGACTCTCTGTTATGAGCCACAGCTTCTGCTTTGATCTTGTGAGGAGGTTAAGGCTATGCTCCCAAACCACTCTTTGCTGTGCATTTTATAGAACTGAAAATGTTTTTGGAAAGGACAGAAAGCTCCCCTGGGCATTTTGTTTGTTCCTGTTCCAAACCAGTAATGCTTTTCTTTGGGATGAATTTGGGTTTCTTTCAAAAGAATCTAAGGAATGTAAAAAAAGCAGACTAACATGTTGACTTTTTACTTTTGTTTGCAAGTCCCAGTAAATGTGCTTTAAGTAAGTGAGAATGTTAAATAAAGAATCTTTCTTTCTCCTTCCTTCCTTTTTTATATTGCACACATATTGTACACTAAAAACTGAGGCTCAGGAAAATTCCACCTGATCTCATTTGTAGTTCTTCTGATCATTGGCATAACTTGCTGTCTATCAAAATCTAATGTCAGATTCTGTGTAGTATAGCCATTTCTGAAAAATAGTCCAGAATAAACTTGTATAGCTAAATTGGAATGCACTATAACTGACTTCCTCTTTTTTTAATCTGGACTACAGTTTTTGAAAATTTAAATTCATGTTAAAGAACTTTCTGTGGTAATATTGGTAATTCCATTGGAATTTAAAGATAAAATAAGCATACCTCTTCAGCTATTACTATTGACAGCTGAGAAGATATAATTCCAGTGATGCCAATTAGCATTATCAAATTTTCTTTTTAGAAAAGTGTTTGTTTATACATCTTATACTGACCCCTTGAATTTTGAATTTGTTGTGTCTCATAATACTAGATGTTCTGTATTGTGGTTAATGTGCTATGAATGAGGAAAAAATTGAGAATTTCAAAGGAATATATATAAATCTGAGCATTTGGGCTTGAAATAGCTGTGAAACTGTTACATTGTAGACTGAACAACACATTAAACTATTTTCTACTTTAATTAATGCTTATTGTTGTTTGTATTCAAGTGCCTTCAAGTTGTTTCCAGTTTATGGCAACCCTAGGCGGACTTATCATGGGGTTTTCTTGGCAAGATTTATTCAGAAGGGGTTTGCCTTTGCCTTCTTCAAAAGATGAGCGACTGTGACTTGACCAAGGTCACCCAAGGGGTTTCCATGGCTGCGTGGGGATTTAAACCCTGATCTCCAGAGTCCAAATCTAACACTCAAACCACTACACCATACACAGGGTTATTTTACAGTAGTGATCTGATTGATTCTTTATGCTGTGCTATTTCTTAATAACCACCACCTTTCCTTTATTCTTGTTTCATACCATTTTTGTATTTATTTTTCATTTTTTAATTGATGAATGCTTTCTTAGTTTAGAAAGGTCTAGAATTTTGTTTTATCCTTTTTCTGGAAAGATGCCCAATTTTTATATTTTACTGCAAAATTTATGGGTGCTAACAGGAACCTTTATATATTATCTATAGTATTATATTTTATCCATATGAATGTCTGTGTATATGTTTTTTTCCTTGCTGGCAAGTAAAATATAGTCTATGCTTTGGCAGTAAAGCTTGTTCAATAGCATTTGGTGAACTGTCTAATGAATCTGGGACTCTGCTGAAGTTATACATTTTATGGTGGTGATGTCACTGTTTGGTCACTGTCATTTTTCTTTTATCTTTAGGTTCTCTTTTAAACATTTTTCTATATGTAAACAAATAAGCTGTATATTAATTGTAAAAGCTTTGGGTTAACCACTGATCTTAATGCCTGGGAAAAATCTGTGAAAAACAATGGGTTGTAGTAGATTACAACATTGTGGGTCTTGTATTGATACACCTGGGTTTGAAATCTATTTTGGCCATAAAAGTCATGGAGTTACCATGGTGAAGCCAAGGTTCCTCTGACTGGCCTATTTCCTAAGTTGAAACATCCAAGGGATGTATCATGGCAAGGGTGAAAATCCACTCTGGATTTTACTAATGCTCTTCCCACAGCTGCTCCAAGGTGAAAGGGAGCTCTTTTACCAAACTAGGTTCTAATAGTCCTGCTGTTCAACTAGCAGTTGGAGGAACAGTGGTAAAATTTGGACTGGATTTCCAGCCCTATTGAAGTGGATCCCCCAGTCCCTCCTGGTCCTAAAGTTCATGGGACTAAAATGATCCATGGATGGACAAAATAGAGACATGGAGAGTGACAGGTTGCAACCTATGTCTGTAAATTCATTGAACTGGATAAGAAGGCTTTTCACTTTCTCCCCAAGCGGTCCATTTTAGCCATCTTCCTTTCCTGCAGCCAGTTGTGTAATAGTTCTGGAATCTAGTGGACAGGGAGAGATAGACATCCTTGAGTGAGGGAAGGGTTCTCCTACACGAGCCTGTTCAGGATTTGAGATCTTGAGCAGATGCCCTTCTCTTGGTCACACCACTTTCCATGGTCACCAGTTCTCAGGGGATTGGCTGACGTCTCAAGGAATTATGATTTTTTTACCAGGTGTTCCAGTGGGGAGACAAATCTCATGGTGAGAGGCACTGAACAAGGAAAAGTTTGATTTTATTGTGCAAGGCAGCTTTAATCGAGGATGAGAAATATGCTTCCCTCCAGGGGTTGTTAGACTGCAACACAAATAAAGCAGTTCTTCAGTTAAAATAAAAACACTGGTCTGGGTTCTCTCTGAAATAACCTGACAATACAACAGTTTGTTTTCTTCAACCAGTCTTTGATTTCTCTTCTGCAGTCATATTGCTAATTAATTAATTTCATGCTGTAGAGGTAGAAAAGTCTACTAAATAACTGGCAACAGAACATTTACTATTGTACCTATACTCAACATGGGAGCATGATTTCTGTATGTTGATCTCTTGGAGATGTCATACAAGGGGTGGCTGCAATAGCTGCTTTAAAAAAAGACCTAAGTCTTTGACATTTACTCTGACAGCTTTTCAACAAGGCTTTTTGAGGATGAACAACTTTCAGAAATTTTATTTTATTGGTTAAACTTATATCCTGTCAATTCCTCTAAGCTCAGGGCAGTGTATATAACTGTCCTCCTCCCTTACAATAACCATAAATGGTAGGTCAAGTTGAGAGACTCAAGACTCAAGGTCACCCAATGAGTTTCATTATTCTGTGGAGACTAGAAAGAAGATCCCCCAAGCCCTAATCCAGTACTTTGACAATATCTTCATATGGAAAGCTTTGGGAAGCAATGCACCCTAAAATATGTGATGTTGAGCATGACTCTGAATGCAACTGAGAGAACAAGTTTGAAGTTTACAAGTATAAATTGGCAAATGGTCCACATGTGTTCATGTGTGTTCTGCTTTCTGGAGTCCTAGTTTTTATTTTTAAGAAAAAGGGAAGTTATGCAAAATTATGTATATGAAATATATTTAATGAAGACTAAAGGCTTTAATTTTCAAGAAAGCTGTTAGTGACCTCTCTGGACCACTTGTTAGCAAGGCACTATTTGGGGAAGATGTCCTAAGTCTTGCATTTGCCATTCTACATGTGCAGCCAAGCATAAAAAAAAAATAAGGCTTCTTTCTACATGGCTGGATTTCAGACAGTGATGTGGTGCTGGAGAAGAGTGCTGGGGATTATGTGGACAGCCAAAAAGACAAACAAATGGGTCTTAGAGCAGATCAAACCAAAAATCTCCCTGGAAGCCAAGATGACAAAGCTGAGGCTGTCATACTCTGGACACATCATGAGAAGACATGACTCATTGGAAAAAACAATAATGCTAGGAAAGGTGGAGATATCTACAGGGTTGTCATGGATCGAGATTGACTTAAAATCAACAACAAAATAACAGAAATTATTAATGAATTATTATTTCAAATGAATTAGTAACACAAATTAATGATACAATAACAGTTAAACTAGACCATGTCTAAGTCATTTTCAACTATTTTCATGTGTCAATATGTAGGAAATTAATATATTGCTGTTGTTATATTTCTTCAAATTTAATGAACTGTGTGAAAGTGGGACAACTGCAAATAAAAACCCACTTTTTTAATTCAAGAGATCTCTAGGTCTTCCAGTGTAACATCAGCGAGAATATGGAGCTTATCGCTCACCAAATAATTCAGCTTACCTCTTCCAACTTCAATCCCCCAACTTCAATGTTATCAGACATAAATTGCCACCAATTTAGCTGAGATGCTGCCGGCCAAATCTATCCTGGGTCAAAGCCTCACTCAGCCAGCATTTTTTTTTAAGTTGGGGACCTTTTTTGAAATTGGGGAACTTCCTTCTCATGATATGGCCAAAATATAACAGCCTCAGTTTTGTTATCTTGGCTTCCAGGGAGAGTTCAGGCTTAATCTGTTCTAAGACCCATTTGTTTGTCTTCTTGGCTGTCCATTGTATCCTCAGCACTCTTCTTCAGTATCACATCTCAAATGGGTTTATTTTCTTTCTGTTGGCTTTCTTCACTGTCCATCTCTTGCATCTGTACATGGTAATGGGGAATACAGTTTATTTTCATATAAACCTTTTGGTTTATGTTTTGTTTGACTTTTTTTTAAAGTTCATAACAGCAAGGGAATATTATTCGGTTTTGGAAGGATGTTTTACCTTTTTTCTTTTCTGAAAGTGGATTTTTACTCATGGATCTTCACCTTTGTCATCTCAGAACAGCATTTTGAAGGTCAGTCAAAAATGTTTAATATTGCCAAAAAACAACTCAGTAGAAGACTCTCTATCAGTGTGTAAAAACAACAATATCACCTGTGTCATCTAATTTTGGAAGGTGGAAACAAAAATTGTTAATTGCCACATCATTCCATAGAAGGTTTTCTTTTTGCAAAATATCTGCATTACTGGAACAAACAAAACTGGATGTGCTTTAGCTATTCTTCATCTTTACATAAGATGAGGCTATTTCTTGATCTATTTTCCAGTTGAACTCCTGCAAGACATACTTTTTCTTCTGTAGAATGTGGAGAGTAGTGTGATACAGAACCAGCCACCTCCCTCATGCATTCTAAAATAGTGCAGACATCAAAACATTATCAGCCATTCCTAGATGCAGGGTAGATTGTAAAGCAGGAGTGGGTAACTGCAGATCCGGTGAGAGGCATTACCCATTACCTTCTGGTGGGCTATTGCATCACATTTCAGTTTGCTCAATATAAAGTTATGCACTTCCAGATGCTTTGATGACTGATTTTTTTTTTACTGTTTTGTTTTTGTTTTGAGATTGGAGGGAGGGATTGTGGGAATGAGGGAAAGTAGACCACTGCATTTAGTTAGGTGAGGTATTTAGCCTCGTCTGTTAGAAAGCATCAAACTACAAATCCTAGGATTCTGTAGGATAGAATCATGGCAGTTAAAATCGTGTCAAACTGTTTTATTTCTGCAGTGTGGACACCCTCCAAAGTCTTTTCTAATCTAGCATGGCTTTTTTTAATGTTTGTGTGCTGCCTTAGATTTCCTTCAACATAATTCTATTCTGTTTCTTTTTTAGTGATGACAACTCTAAATGGTAGCTAGCAGTGGCATGTTGGCTCAGCATTTGTCCGAAATATTTTCCTGCATAATGCAAAGCACAAACTGAGGATTCCCCACAATTCCACCTCCAAAAACTGACCAGACTGGCAGATGAATCTTATTTCAACTCATACAGGAGAGATGACAGCATTCATCATTACACCTGAGGTTGACAGGATATGTTAGGTATGCATATGTGGCTTTATTTACTTTGTGTCCTTCAGCATTTGCCTCCTGAAGTGGCTGTGTCACTCTAATGAAAAGGCCAGTCTTATGTTGGCTGTGTTCAATATGCTAAAACAACATAAGCTGCCAGTCCTTACTCTCCATGTGTCATTGTACAGTGGCTTCACAATGTTTGTGCACCAGTCAGTTCACTTTATTATTACAGGTATTCATCTTTTGTGGGGCTCATGCCATTTTGCCACAAGTCAATTCACTAATCTACAGCCACAACACACCTGTTAAAATGCTAACTGAATCCATATGTTTTCATGGTGGGGTTCTGCAATTTAGCTTCTATGCCTTAAAGGTTTACATACTCATTCCATTGTTGATTTGGTCAGTCTCTTCAAACCCTGATTTATTTGTAGAACCTTTCTTCATGGCAGGGCATATCATTTCAAAAAGCTTCCTATATTAAACTAAAATATATTCAAAAGACAGAGGCAATGGGTTGTCCTTTATTTCTAAGTCCTCCTCCCTGTCTGTTTTTCAAAGCAGTACATGTGAAAGAAG